TGCATAGTTGACTTCCGGTTAATGCACGAAATCCAGTAAAGGCATACGCCAAAATTCACTTTAAAACACCAAAAAACATTAGTTTTTGCAACTAATTTTGCTTTTCTTGAAGAGGGAAAAAAAACAACAGCATTACTGAGTAAAACGCTGATAAGCTGGATAAGAGTGAGTACAACAAGAAAATGCGTTTGAAAGTAACAGGATTTTACTACACCACCAGTGGCAAAATTCTGAAGATTCGGAAGCTTTAAATTTCAAATTGGTCAAAAAAAGGAGAAAACAAAACGAAGGAGAGGAACAAGCAGTAGAGTTGGACAAAAATATATAATAAAACAACAGAAAAACTTACATTTGAACATTAAAAACAAAGAAAAAGAGTTCGCAAAAATTTTATAAAAAATAATCGGGCTGTGGTTTCTTCGCTGGCGCACCACGATTTTCCTGAAAAAAACGGAGATGTAAAAATGGATAATAAGTGATAACAACACGTGGTGGGAAAGCAAAAATATCGAAGTGAAAGGTGTGTGAGGGGAAGTAACTAGCGCATACAAAAAATCCGAATGTGAACATGTTGAAAACTTCAAAAATTACCTGTGGCGCTGCTTCAAAAATCGTGAAATCCTTGTTGAGCTGTTCATCCAGTTCCAGAATTGCCGCAACATTACCACATCTAAAAAAGAAACAGCGATTCAAAAAACAAAAAAATTTAGTCAAAAATCAAAGCTGTCTCGTGTATCATTAAAATGGAGCAATATCTTGATATTCTGAACATCTGATATTTAAGATACCAAGGTAAATGTCGATTAAAATCTGGTATAATTTTTTTTCAGGAAAGAACAGTTCTAAACAACGACCTGTAACAATAATTGGGCGCCGACCAGACAGTGAGCACAGTTTCATTAAAATGCCACTTGTAACCCTCCATGACCAGCTGATGGGCGCGACAAATCAAATCCACTCCATTCGCTTGACAAAATGCCTGAAACCGCTGTTTTAATATTCGACCAA